TAATAATAATAATAATAATAATAATAATAATAATAATAATAATAATAATAATAATAATAATAATAATAATAATAATAATAATAATAATAATAAGAATAATAATAAGAATAATAATAATAATAATAATAATAATAATAATAATAATAATAATAATAATAATAATAATAATAATAATAATAATAATAATAATGATAATAATAATAATAATAATAGGGGGGGTAATAATAATAATAATAATAGGGGGGGATAATAATAATAATAATAATAATAATAATAATAATAATAATAATAATAATGCTTTCACATGAACTTGAAACAGGATTGAAATGGAGAACGCTGTATACGGTCCCCGAGATCCCTCACTTTTGTATCTTCAGAATGATCATAGATCAAGTGTTTTGACAGAGTCTAATATGGATACGAGCATACGAGTTAGACGAAGTGATCATGGGATATGGAGTGTCTTTCATAGGCCGCACAACCCTCATCCTCATCCTCGGGTGTTATCTTATTTGGTTCAGATGAAGTTATATGGTGTATATCGATGTCGACGTATGCTAGCAGATTGGGGACTTATCACTGCATTAGTAGAGAGATGGCGCCAGGAGACTCACACATTTCACTTGCGTGTAGGGGAGGTGACAGTCACCCTACAGGACGTGGCGTTGATATACGGACTACCGGTTGACGGACGTCCGGTCATAGGAGTTGATACTCATCGTAGGACTCGTGAGTGGCAGCAGTATTGTATGACATGGTTGGGATTTACACCGGATTCATCAAAGATAAAAGGATCGAAGTTGAGCGTCAAAGCCCTTAGTGAATATTTAATCAATAATCCCGTTCTTGATAATAGTACATATGAGCATCTTATTCATTACACTCGAAGGATTGCTTTTCTCATAGTAGGGGGGATTATGTGTCCCGATCACACTGGCGACTCTATTCCGTTGATGTATTTGAGACATTTAGAGGATCTTGATGCTGTCAGTACATATAGTTGGGGTAGTTGTACTCTAGCAGTCCTCTACCACGAGTTGTGCAAAGCATCGAAGATATCTGCAAAAGAAATCAGTGGCCCTGTTCAATTATTACAGGTAACATATGAATTACTTATATAATTTAGTACATTAATACATTTAATTTGTTGTTTATATTATAAAAAATTATATTCTTGTATTATTTAACAGATATGGGCATGGATGCGGATTCCTCCATCAAGGCCCATACCTACTCTGGCAAAATGGGGCACAACACTTGAGTATGCAGGATATGAGTTTCCCGTACCACCTTACGGTGCACGGTAATGGTTTTGAGATTTATGTTAAATTATTTTTGCATTATTGTTACAGTGATTTGTGTATTAATTTTTTGTGTCTATAAATATAATGGTTTGTTTGAGTCAACTTCCACTATATTTTTCTAACATTTTCAGTCAATTTTACTTGAAAAAATTTGATATTTTTTTTCTTCAAAACATTTAATTACTTAGATTTTTTTCTAAAATATTCTAAATAAAACCTTTTATTTTGTCATTTTGAATTTCTTTTTTGTTTTTCTTAAATGTCTTCCGGCAGTTCAAATTCTCAACAACAATATGATTTTAAACCTTATCTTTATTATTATCTTTAGTTTAATATATAATAATATATCACAGGTGGACCAACCATGTCAGCTTCATTGAGACTGGTGCACATGTTCTTCGTATTTTTAGGATGATGTTGGATCAGATGCTCCCAGATCAGTTTATATGGATGCCATATGATATGGATGATCCGGAGTATCAGGCTGTAGGTGGTGATTCGGATATCATATGTTCAGGTATATGGGTATCGAGAGTCCCCCTGATATGCTACGCAATTGTGGAGATGCATCGACCAGACAGAGTAGTACGTCAGTTCGGGATGGTACAACCCATACCTGAACCTCCTGAAAATACTGAGACGGATTTCCGGATGCACGTCAATGCTAACCGTACAGGTGCTACCAACCGAGACTGGAGTCTTACACATGTTTCGCATGTTACCGCTTGGGATAATAGGCTCAATTATATTATTAATTATCCATATGCCAGTGACAGTCAGACTACAGAAGATGGTTATTTTGAGTGATATAAACTGCACACACGTCGTTTCATATCACCGATTACCCCTGGATTTCAGGTTGGAGGTCAGATTTCAATGGATACAGTGGTACGTATTCAAATTTATTTATTATAAATTTTTTTGTATTTTATAATTTTTATTAATGTATGTCTTCTAAAAATAAAATATTTCTTATTACTTATTTCAGATTCAGCATCTTCGATCGTTGATTGTTTCTGTTGATGGCGGAGACATGCCCCGGGATGGCTATCGTTCGTATTTACCGACTCTCAGAACATGTCTTAGTGTCTTAGAGTCTCGACACGGACCTTCAGATAGGCCTCAATCTGAGATGCCTTATACTCAGACTCACCCTCAGACTCAGACTCAGATACCACTGTCTCAAATGCCTCAGTCACAGACTCAGATGTACGCTGGCGAGGCAGAAACTTCTTCTCGTGCATATTATCCGGCATTCGATAATTATACAGATCCTAGATCACACGGGCATCCATCTGGTATGTTTAGTACCTTTGATTTTATTTTTAATACTATTTATAACTGTGAGTATAATTATAATCTCGTTGATGCAGATTCGTACACCCCATACCCCTACTTTAATCCGAATCTGAATTCGGAAGACCCAGTTCATTTGGGGTCTACGCATCAGTTTTCGTCTTCGCGACCGGTAGATCATCATATCACACCTATTCCTTATTCTCAATCCGCAAATTCTTCGAGTGATGAGGATGAACAAGTTGGTAGAGGGCACAGGACTAGAAGGCCCCCGAGATGTGGCACCGGAGGTCACCGTCATTGGTGATATTATTATTGTAGTTTATGTTGGTTATTTATTAAAACTTTTTCGTATTTTAGTTATTCAATAAAAAACAAAT